CCCCCCCCAAAAAAAAAAAAAAAACAGGTGTTGATTATGATTTCACTATTACATTTTCCCCCTTCCCAAATAACTATTCATTAAGAAACAGCAGACATTAAATTCGCATGCCATTATCAAGTCCTCATTCAAAAAAATAAAATAAAATAAATTGTTTGATGTAGCGTGTTGGAAATATTCAAGAATTTATGATTTATTTACCTATCTTTTTTTAGTTGCCTAATAATAATTTGTTTATCAAATTATCAGGAGCCTAAAGAATTATTATTTTTTAGTTAAAACAGTTGACACTAATATCACGAGAACAATATTCATTAACTTAAATAGACATTCATAATCTCAAACAAGTGAAGATAGAACAATATGCTTCACATAAGATCTCAAATATACAAGTATAACTAATAATTTTCCACCTACCCAAGATGATTAAGCACTAGAGAATTGACTGCAAACGCAATTGAATAGGTCCCAGTTTCCCACTAAAGCTGACAAATACTACATGATGTATGACGCAGAACTATCAAGCTCAACTAAATTACTCAAGAGATTACACTTTCAGCAGTCGGATTTAGACAACTTTTCTAATAGACACCTAGATCAATCAGGACATTTTATTTACAATTTATAAATGAAAATGCACCAGGAAAACACATAATACATTTGGACAAAAATGAACAGAACAAAATATTGAATGAACTGAAGCAACTAAGAAGTTATATACCTGAAATCTGGTCGAGAAAGAAGACTCCTAATAAGTGAAAAATCAAACACGTTCTGTGAAAATCCCAAAATCCACAAAGTTTTTAATGTATAAAAGAAAATAAATGTTTTGAGAAAGCTACAAAACATCATGTCAGGTTGGTACCTCCATTAGTTCCACATAGTCACCCACTGAATCAACAACATCTACTGAAAAAGTCCCATAGTTTGTAACTCCAAGTTTAGAGAGATCAACATCAGGAATGTCCGCCATCTTTATTTCGGAGATCTACATATCACTCGTTGAAAGTTAATATTCAGAGGCCGAAATAATAGCTGTAGTCATCAGATTTTTTTATTTTTATTTTTTTAATAATGTTATCAGATTGCAGTGTGACTTTTCACAAGTAGAATCACGAAAAAGTAGTTTCCCAAATTCAACTAATAATGTTAGACAAGAAACAATTTCACCTCATGGGAGCCAACTATTATACATTAGATATTCATGTCAGAATGAAGAACTGCCCTATCATAAAACAGAGACCATTTGGCTTTAAGATACAAAACTTGCTCCTCTTTCTATCCATTACCTTTTTTCACATCAAGGCACATATGAAATTTAAAAGATGTGATGTATCAAATTGCAAGAGATCAATGTACAGGCATTCATGAGCATTTCCAATAATTGGGCTATATAAGATAGAAACGTCTCAACAAATATTTGTCCCCTACCCTTCCCAATGGAAAGTTCGTGTGTACATGTGCTGTAGTAGTTGGTGTGCGCGGATGCACAATTCCATGGCCGATCCAGGAATTAATCTAAGCTAGGGCGGAAGCTCGACGGCCGTTGAGCAGCCGCCCAATATGTGGGAAAAAAATCCGGGGGTACCAACACGAGCAGCCACCATGGCTTATCGGATGCTAGCTCCGCCACTGCGCACATGCGAGTGTTGTTGTGTACGTGTGAGACAGAAAGCAACTGTGCACGTGCATGCAGACTAGGCAACAACTTCCAAGTTCTCAAAGCATTATGTATCAAACATCTCACTTAGGGCATCTACAATAAGCTAAACCTTATTGTCAATGAACTTGTCGTATTTCATCACTCTGTTTGATCAACAATACAACTACGTGAGTTTTTCTCAAGGCACTGAAAACTACTGGTCAACCGAATTTATAATGTACGAGCCAATCTTCTTGCAATGTTTTATAGACTTCTTTCTTCAACATCTTCAACCATTGATTACTTAACAAAATCTACTCAAAGTAGAATGATCATTAGGCAGTAATCCTAAAGATATCATCTGAAATTATTTTAGTCAAGTTACTTTGGTATTCAGAGACCAGCTAAAGAGGGAACCTGGACACTGAATTAGACAACCCAACTCATTTGTTTTATATAACTTCATTTACCTTCTGTTTTTGCAAGGAAAAAACATGGGAAAAGAATAGGAAATGAAATATTAAGATATCTTTTACATGAAAATTACTTCTTCGGTTTTGTTCATCAACAAATTCATTTTATGATTAGTTTACTGAACAAGTTGAATTTTTGTTTTATCGGTGTTAGACAACATTATTTTATCCCCTTAGAATTCATAGTAAAATTATATTCATTGACTCTACATTAGAGTTAACATGTCAAATAGTCACGCTTGGTGAAATAAAACTTAACCAGGTGAATAATGCACAAAAATTTGCCATTTACGAATACATGTGACTTAACCAAAAGAAAAGGGAAAAAAAAAAAAGAATAAACCATGCTAGCCCTTTTCATTAACTCATATAGGATCTGGTACATACAGAAAGTGTATTGCCATAAATCTTGTCGGTTATTGATTCGGGTGCAGGTTGTCCACTGCTGTAGTTGAACTGCAAAAGCAGGAATCAAAAGCAACCATGTAAATACGAAAGTATTGCACAGCCAGTAAGACTTCAAATACAAAAGATGAACAGAATTTTGTGGAAAGGACTAGAGAGTAGTACAAAAGTTAAAGAAGAAAAAGGTTAAAAATCTTTTTCACTATACTGTCGAGTCATTTAATACTGCATACCAAACATTTAGGCCTTGTTTGAGCTACCTTTTTGTGGAATGAGAATGAAAAATATAGTTGTTATTGGGGCCACACAAGAGATAGAAAATTTGAATTTAAATGTTGATGTGATGGATACCATCATATTTTTCATTTAAATTAGATAAAAAGGTGGCCCAAACGGGGGCTTATTTCAATTATAATTGTTACTAACAACAAAGATAACACCTTGATACCCCAATCGTATTCAGGACCACCGGGATTGTGGCTTGCGCTCATTATAAAACCACCATTGGCCTGTAATTGCAAGATAAGTAGAACTTATAAGTATCCTATTGTAAAACAGAACCAAAGAAGAGGAAAGAAGCGGTTATTGCCTTTCTCTTCCTTATTACAGCAGAAACAGCCGGTGTAGACATAATGCCATCCCTGCACAAAAATTCTAATCTTTATGTACTACCACCCAATTGCCGAAGGATTTTACTGAAATTGATAATACATCAACAAACAAATCATTTTGAATCAATTTTCTCAGCCTTCATTGGTCAACGTAGTATTTTAAAGTTGTGATCTTTTGGACCATAGAGTGCAAACCAACGAGATGTGATACAAAAGTGATCGCCTCTAAGACTACATTTACCAATAACAATATAAGACTTAATTCCAATAAACTTGAAACTGGCTTCATGAACCATATTTTTTTCACTCCTTTCAATACAGTGCTAATCTATACTAATGAAATCGTACCATTCTTGTAAATTGAGGCTTCTTCATCTCTACACAACACATGTGCCAACCATAACAATCACCTTTCCAATAATTTATCCTCAGATGGTACTACTCCCCTAAAACTTACCACTAAAATCAGAAGGTTTATGTTGATATGTGACTCTTAAAACAACAAATGCTTTCGTAAACAAGAATTAACAAATAGGAGAATCATAATTTATTCATCCAATGTCAAAAAACCAGGAACAATAAACTAGAGGCACTTACTTGCCAACTAAGATTTTACCAACACCATTCCCCGCAGCAATTTTGATTATTATCTGCATTCAATGAAACATTAGCATTTATAAAGTTGGAAAATCTACTTCTCAGCATAAACATAGCCATAAAACTTGATTACACGCTATCTAAATTTGAATACCTGCGCCGCCTCCAGGTTAAAATACCGACCATCACCTCCTAAAACCAACACTCCATTCATATAATCCTCCGGAGGCAATGAATTAAATAATGCCTTCAAGTTCACATACAAACCTCATCAATTTACAGAGCAACTAAAAGTATTCTGAATAGTGTGATGAATTTTCAAACCTGAATCCAATTGCCGAGGTAATTTTCTTGCATGAACACTTTAACCTAACAGTTACAGAAATCAAAAAATGATTACACCTCCAAGCACGTGTTTTTATTTAACATGCATATTAAAATGCCTTCATCTAGAGAAAAGAATAAATAAAAGGAAAAGCTTGTACCTTCTTTCTAAGACCACTGGTACCAGTCTTTTGACCCTCAATCGGCTTTGTCGGCACAGAGAAAATCTAAAAATAGGAGGAAAAAAAACCTTAGATTATTTCAATAAAATTTACACCTCGCGAAATAAAACACACAAGTATAATAAACCTTGAGTTCCTGGGTATCGGTTATGGTAGTGGAAGGAGAAGAAGCCTTAGTGAATAAAGAAGAAGACTGTGAAGTCTTTTTGAAAGAGAGATTGGAGAAGAGGGGAATGGGATTAAGAAAGGATAGTGATTTAATGGGATTAGAGACATAGTTACTAGAATTCTTGAATTTTCTTGATAACGCAGAGGAGGGTCTTAAGCTTGCTGAATTTAGAGCCATTCTGGGTAAGTTCTGCGGAGTCTGAAGAAACTGTGCGATCCTCTTAAAGATTTTGATTGATTGAAGTTCTGAGGGGAGTGTGGGGGTGGGGTGAATCCGGGAGAGAGAATTTGAGCGGACGTGATTTGAAAATCTTCTAGAGGAATAAATGGGTGCCACATGTACGGGAGACTGCTTATCTCGAGTAGAGTTTTTACGCGTCACTGCTTTGACAATCTAGCCTTCGTTTGGGAGCTATTCTTTCTTCAAATAATACATTTTTTTTTTCACATCAAATGGGGTCCATAGTTGAAAAAAGACACAAAAAAAATGTGATTTGACACAAAGAATGCATTTTTTTTAGGAAAATGGTTACCAAACGGAGCCCTATTTGAATTTACTGTTTCAATTTTTTTTAAATACCCAACTCTCCCAATTTTGTCAGACTAAATCCTAGACCTTCAAGACTCTTACCCTAGAACCTTTGAGGAGGTAAATCGCGGGATACGTTTCAACTGGTTCCCAAATTCCCCTCACCAATTGTGCACTTCTGCTCAGAAAGGATCATCCTCTAAATTGATTGTTCCATACTAAGGTCCTGTTTGGGAGAAATTTTAATCAAGATTTTAATCAAAATTCTAGCCGTTAACTATCAAATCAGCCACCATTTTTGACTTTCTCTCTTATAGGTGGGGCCCACAGGTTGACTATCACAGCTATAATTTTGATTAAAATCCCACAGAAATTGCTCCCAAACTCGCTCTAAGTATCAAACCAATAATAAATTTTCCACACTACGTCCACAGATTTCTAAAACTATTTCACTGCAACACCTGAATATTGGTGGTACATTTATCATGGATGCGCCCCTGTTTGCAATTGCAGATAGTTGTCCCCATCTCGAGGTATAATCCTCTATTGAAATAATCTTTTATGTGATACGCTCTAGTTCAGTCCAGTATCACGTCTCATAGAAACTTTATGTTCCATTAACACTGACAGTATTATTTTCAATTTCATTTGTTCCAGATTATTGTTTTGTGGGGCTGTCATCATGTAACGGAGAATTGACTTTTCATGCTTGTAAACAAATGCGGCAAACTCGAGTCAATCAATTTATTACAATGCAATGTAACATCACCATTTTTATATATATCCACTTTTGAAAAGACAATTATATCATATGTTTAATCTTATGTAAATTTACTTAAATAGACGTATATAAGAATAAATAAAAATGCATTGTTTTAAATTCATCCAGTAATATTTATTTTCATTAAATTCTTTTGGACCTTTTTATATTTTTTAAGAATTTGTGTTTAACTAAAATCCTTAATAATCATAAAATATTTTCTTCAAAACATGATATTTGATCCCAGACACGACCTGGAGATGTAAATGATCATAGATGGCAGAATTCTTTGACAGTGGGGAGTAATTTGGAGGAAACATTTATACAGGATTGTCATGAACCACCTAGGAAACAAACTGATGAATTAAATTTCTCCCACTGGAGATAATAATATTTTGAAGACGAATGGAAGTTGGTATATTGGAAATATAGAATTAGGGAAATTTGCAGAAGCGGTATCAAATATTTCATTAAGTAGCAGGTTTTATCC